AGCAACTGTGGTGAACCGGCTTTCATCCTGTCACATGTCTGCATCCTTGTAACATGTTTTGGTTGCGGTTTCTCTGTGTGGTAGATGGGGCACTTCAGCTTTGCTTGCGTGGCTGGTCTTCCTGTGATCAAGCTCTTGGAGGTGGGTTGCAATAGACTGCATCATCCTGTGCTGTCATCGGCGCTCTGTGCATGCAGGTCCTCTGGGTGTTCTGTCCTCTGCAGAGGCATTCTGGGACTGCTGCCCAGATTTTCTCAGAATATTGCTGATACAAACGTGGTTAGGCAGGCTTGTAGGTGTAGCCTTGCAAACATGTCTGTGATGGCCAAAACGAAAATGCTGACTGAATAACTAGTTAATATAACCAAACCTTTGGCTGGTGAGACCTCAGAGCAGTTCAGTTTTTGTCAATTCTCCCTGGCATTTTTTTCTGAGGATTTTACTTAGAGAAATAATTAGTGGCATTTTTATTTTAATGAGGTAGATTTTTATCTTTCAGATGCCTAACTGAACTATGCAAAATAGCTTTATGGATCTGAAACGCAAGCAATCCCTCTTAGTGTGATTGGACTCAAGTTGATAATATACAGGCAGAGAGCTGATCCTATAGCAATCAACAGAAACATTTTGTTGCATGTCTGCTGAATCTGTTAGCCTTTTTAACATGCGTTAGTCCCTAAGTTCAGTTCCTCGGTCTTACCTATTCGCTTATGAAAAATAAAAGGCACAGGATGTTTTACAGGCTGCCTATAAATAATACACTTGCTATGTAATTGAGAGAATGTTGGAACTGTTCATGGTAGATGAAGGTACTCCAGAAATAAATTTTTAAAGCATACTTTAACTTCACACCTCTGTGATATGTATCCTCATTTCCTGAATTGAGTTTCTTCTGCTTCATGTAAAACTTGCTAGAATTAGTGCAAATTGGAAATATAATTATTTTTACTATAGCTAACTATTTCCAGTTATGGTTTTGCTCATTTTAATATGCTGTTTATGTGAACATGAGTTTACTTATGCCTGCGTGAGAAGATAAGAGGGTGACCTAATTAGTTTTGCCATAAATATTGTTTTTCCAAACGCACGTTACAGTATTTATGTATTTGTTAGAAACGATTAACCTTGGCTGTGTCTCAGTTCACAACTGAGTGAGTCTTGGGTGAAAAGGAATGTAGCAATTCATTTGATTTTTATATGGAAATAGCAGCTCTCCAGTGATACCACTGTACCAGTACTATAGCAGTTTAGATTATTAGAGCAGATGGGGGGGAAAAAAAAGAGAGAGAGAGGGGGAAAAAAAATACCGTTCATTTTTAACTTCTTACATAGCAAGACTGAGTAGTCTGTTTGCTAACTGACCCCCTGTAAAACTTCAAGTTGAATGCTAAATGCTGTCTGGTCATTACTTGGAGTTACTAAACTGCTCTAGTGAATTAAAAAACCTGAGTATTAATGGAAACGCTGACCAGATCCTAGTTCCAGTATTACAGTACATGACTGCAATGTTTCACTGCCCTGTTAGTATACTTGGTATGCTCACTGTATCTGGCCTTCTCAGCAGAAATTTTTAAGAGTGCCGTCCTTGTTAGCCAACATACAATTCAAATGAGGTAGAGTTCTATGGGAGTGAGACATCTTTTGCTTTCCTTGCTGCTGACTGCATGGGAAAGAACTGTTTTGATGGACTGATGACTCACACTCCAGAGTTCTTGTTTTCTACAGACTTATGGAAAGAAATTCTTTTTTTAAGTGTATATCTGATGAAACTTTTTGTCTTGTTCCTTCACTTTTCTGTTCTCCATTTTCTACATCCCATGCTGATGGTAGAAAAATCTAAGTCTCTGAAGAACTTGATTCTTACTTATTTCAAATTCCTGGTTTTGCCCCCAAAAGCAGAACAGGCATTTAAGAATGGAGGGTTCTGAGAAGTGCATGAATGCAACGCAGCTGATGGGTCTAACGTTAGTTTTTTGAACTGTGACGTTGAACCTGTCAGTTCTCAATCAAGGTGAAGTTACTGATAGAAAGAGATATATGTTTTCTTTAGTTTTTTCCCTTCAAGATCTACCTAGCCAAGCTCACCTTATAGGAGAAAATCAAGTTCTGTTAAAGGTAAAATATGCGTTATTTGTGAGATTTTTGTTTTTAAGCTTGCTGTAAATCTTTTTTGCTAATGGAATAATCAGGGACCAATTTGATAGGTTTTTTTTTAATCTACTTTTGCTAATTTTAATGTCTTCTGTAGAGCTAGCTGCGAATGTGTTTTTGACAAAACATGTATGTCGGGTGAGGAAGGGATTTTTCGAAAAACACTACATTAGTAGAAAGGTGTTTCCATGATCATTGATCATGTGTGATGGGAAATGTTTTAATGTTTCTTGTCAAATAGCCCAGTTTTGCTGCTGCTCACTTAAAAGATGTGAGCCTGAAGTTTTTAAGACTGTTGTGCCCTAACCACTGAAATTTGTTTTCTGTTTCCTCATCCTGATTTGGATACAGGAGAGTATTTAAATCATGAGAAAAAATGTTGAGACGCAAACGAGTTGCTTCCCAGTCTTGTTATTGAGTGCGTTCTTTGGTACAAGAGTGACCTAATTTTTTCTAATATCTGAGCATCCGGCAACTCTTGTCATGGTCATTTGTCTAAAGGTTTTCAGGGCTTTTTTGTTTTTTTGGTTTATTTGTTTTGTTTTTCCACCAATCAAAATAATGCATTGTGAGAGCTCTTTACGATATAACGAGCTTAGAGCAGTGGACTTTGTTGCTTTCCTGCATTACGTTCTGTTAGAAATTGGCAGTAATTACAACTGAGGCTTTATTTAACACATCCACATTTCTAGCAGAGTTAATTTTAAAGGATTTCTTATTAGTGTTGGATGCTTTGTCAGGCAGCGACAGAACGTGCTGCAGTGTTTTCATAGCAGCTTCTCATAATACATAGCTTATTGGTTGCAATATAATGTGGTTTTCAAAGTTTTTGTTTTAACAGGGTTGTAGTTTGAATGTGCAGAACCTGTAGACTTCTCCAACTATACTGAAAGTTAATTGAGAAGTTCTGCATTTGGAGTAGTTATGGAAAGGATGATTAAGGTTCGCGACTGAAAACTTTCTTCTTGTCCTAGATGTTGGGTTGCTGTAGTTGACCGCGAAAAGTTTGACACTTATGAGGTTGTCATTTAAAATCAGATGGTACTTGTCATTTTACTTGAGTATTTTTATGTTAGAGTGAAAACCTCTACATCGCTCCCTCCCACCTGTAAGCCCCGATTTACTTGGAAAAATAATATAGCAAAAAGCAGCAGACAGCTTAATTTCTAAGATTTAATTCTGTTTACTTGGCAAAAACAAAGTTTTTGGGGGAAAAACACAGGATACAATGTTTCAATATGAATAAAACCGTGTACCTATAAACTATTTTGAGCATAGGCTTGAATTTCAGTATGCAGCCTGCTGAAACGTTTTGTGTAGTAGTCTGCCTACCCAAGTTCTGTTTGCACAATCCTGTATGTCTGATCTCCATCTTTTAGTCATAGTGAATGTTTAACATCAGTATCAGTAGTCTTTAAGCTGTTTGGGCAGTGGTTTTTGTTATTTACTTTATATGTTTGTAGTGTTTTGGGTGACCTCTTAATTCTTTTCCAAAGTATTGTGAAATGTTCTTTGAAATGGTGTTGTGTGGGATGCCTAATGTACTGGGGTGGCTTTTTCTATGCAAGGGAAAGGATATGATGCCCAGGGGTTTATAGAGCTGTTGCAGTAGGTCTATAAAAGGTGTCTGCATTTATGCAACTAGAAAAGTAAGACTGAAACCTAAGTGATGAGCAGCAGCCCAGTAACCTGTGGTTTATTGAGACAAACTGAGACAATATTGGTCTGTTTTGACTTTTTGAGCTGAATTAATTTTGTCACCATGCCTTAACAAGTGTCAGTTTGGCTTTTGGTGTGCATGTGAACAGTTTCTTATGGCAACTTGTGCACAGCAGCACAGGCAGAACTTCATTTGATAATAGTGTATTTTACCGTCCCCTGCTATACGATGGGGAAAGTTAGTTTCTGTATATGAGCATGGTTCTATTTTGTGTTTTCCTTCCATGTTGGCTTGATAGTATCTACTTAAAACTTGCACTGAGCAAAGTGGTTATTGTGGTAATCTTAAAAAGGACAAATGGAATTAAATCCTATACGACTTTTAAAAGTGCAATTCTAAGTGCAGATTTTTCTATTACTTTGGTTGGGGTGCAGTTCTTTCAAAATGCCCTCCGGTTAATTGGGATTGGGTCTTTTCCTAAACCTGAACTCAACTGGGCGCTGATCCTGCTGCAGTGATTGTTTTCACTTTTGAGTAACTCCTCATGAATGAGCACTTGCTAGATCATCCCTACTTGGGCCTTGAATACTTTAACTGCATTTCTCTGATAGTGTATATAATTGGTAGCTTGCAAATACAGCTCCATGAGGATCTGACTAAAGGACCCCACCACAGGTTTTATCATGTTCTGTAGTTTTCCTCTTGCTCTGCTACTCTAGACTGTGGTGTTTTTTCAAATGTAGCTTCACCTGAGAGCCACAGAAATAATGTTAAGCTAAGCAGAGGTAGTTCCTGAATTTTATTGATGGTTACTTTACTTTTTAAAGTTCAGCATATTAATGTTTATGTAGCCCCTAATACATTGGGGTCCTTTGACTGGGGTCTTGGGCGCTAAAGTAGCGCACATAAGAATGACGGTTTATTTACTGCACGCTCTTGGACCGTTTTTGTCTTGGTTTTAACCCTCCCCCCCAACTTTTTACACTATTGCCATGGAAAATTGTTAGCAAATTGACCTTTACATAGCAAAAATAGAAGCTTTCCTGTCAGGATCTGAATTTAACTCAACTGATTCATTCACTTGTTTGTGCCCGCACAGGAAGCCCCATTCATATGATCACAAAGCCTAATAGCTGTTTGTACATTGAGATTGATCTGATTACTCTCGTTTGTCTCGTGCTATTTACAGTCTGCTGCAAGTTCACAGAAAGGGAAGAGAATGGCTGCAAAAGAGAAGTTGGAAGCCATATTAAATGTGGCCCTAAGGGTCCCAAGCATCATGCTGTTGGATGTCTTGTACAGATGGGATGTGAGCTCGTTCTTCCAGCAGATCCAAAGAAGTAGCCTGCACAACAACCCACTCTTCCAGTACAAGTACTTGGCCCTTAACATGCATTATGTCGGTAAGTGTGCACGTATTCAAGAGAAGACAGAACTGCAGTAAATACTGTTTTGCTTCCTACAGTAATTTTAAGAATTTGGTAACAGTGTGATAATATGATTGCAGCATTTGTTTTCTTGACTGTATTTAAAGGGCTATTTATGTTAACAGGAAAGAAATCCTGTCCAGGGTTTTCTGTTGAGCTTTATTATTTAGCTTCAACGTGTATGACGTTGGAAACTAGAAATACTATCGATGTTCTGAAAGAACAGCACACCAGCTGTGGCGTGTGTCTGAGAAAGATTCTGTGAAATGCCATGCAAACAATAAGTATTGTAATATAGTTCATTGGTATTAAGTAAACTAGGGGAGAAGTTGCCTTCTCTGGACTGTGACCGTAGCCTCAGAAGGTTAGCTTTCACTGCTGCACAGATACGGCTCTGCAGCCTTAAAAGCAGTATATATGCTATGAGTGGATTAGAGCATGTGTGCTGTGTGCAACATCTCTGTGTTGCAGATAAATGGGCAAAATCACTAATGCAACTTAGGGAGCTGAGGTCTGAAGCTTGGCCTGCAAGTTTAGCTCTGGAATGCTAGAAGTCTGTTTTTAGAGATGAAAGGATTGCTATTCTGGGACTTGCCTTCCAGGTGGGTGTGTGATTCATCTAGTGACTGCGCATGGGGTTAATTAGGGATTGGATCCAGACTGTTGAGGTTGATATCCATTTAGGATCTGCATCAGTACTGCCTAGCTTTGAGAGAAACGGCTAGCATATAATTTTCCAGCTCTGTGCAGTGTTCCTTCTTTGTAGATGGCCTGGAGGACAAAGATGTACTGCACTCAACTGAAGGAAATACCTTTTAGTTAAGTAGTTAGAGGGCTGTGACTTTGAAGTGGCACGTCCAGGGTTTTAATCCTGACTACAGAAATGCTGGCATGTGACTTTTCTCTTTTAATCTGTTAAATATCTGTTTTCCGGAAATTATTTGCTGTCATTGTAAACACGTATGGCTTTCTCTGTTATGGCGCAATATACTTATGCCGAGGGTAGCAAGGTATTTACTTTTAATGTAAAAGTTAGTGTTACTGGCCTCTGTCTTTTTATATGTTTCTGGGAGAGAGTAGAGCGTGTTTATCGCTGGTGAATGTGACACATGACTATGGAGACATGTAACTACAACTGTCTGCCAGCTGCTTTGCTCGTTCTGCACGTGCTCCTGTATGCATGGAAGTCATACAAGTATGACTTTTAGGAATTAGTTTATCAGGTCGGTTTCTAATACAAAACTAACAGTTATGCAGTAAGCTATCAGCTATGTCAGCAAATAATTTCCAGCTGTGACACAGCCCTTTATAGCCATTTGATAACCTTGCCTGTGCTTATGTACATTGAGATATACCAGTGAAAAGCACTGCATAGCAGATAGGTATTATTAGCAAAGTATTTCTCACTTGGATGCTATTTTAGTACTAAACCTTTACTTGGTTCTTTCTGCTTGTTGTACAAATGGGGCTTTTAGGCTGTTGCACCGTCACTCAGCAAATCTTTTATTCTTTGCTTTTAGAATATTGCACTTTGCATTTTTACTGCTTCAGTTGGTGGTTACTGCTTAGAATTTTCTAAAGTATCAAACAAATTGTCTGTTTTGAAAGATTTTCAGACAGTTTTCAGTGACAAAACTTTGCTAATACTCTTTAAATTGATTTATTTTGACTCCTTGGTGTGTGGGGCTTTTTTTTAATGCTATGTCTCTGTGTGAGTCTGGGCTTAATCACTTTGCATGTCTACGCAAGGTTTTATATAGATTTAATTATCTGAGTGTAAAGTATAACCTTAAGGGGTATATCAAAATATGTAAACTGGGTTTGTAAGGAAGGTAAAGAAAACAAAATATTTTTCCACCAGTTTGGGAAATCAGGCTTCTCTGAAGATATATTGAGGGCAATTAACTGCTAATGTGTAACTTCAGTAACATAATTTGCTGCGCATATGTTTCAGCATGCTAATCTGGTATGCTTTTTTTTATGGAAAAAATCCTCTATTCGTATTTGCCGTAAGAAAGCATAGTATCTTAGTAGTGTTAATTCAACCAGAGAGGATATTTCAAATAGTAAAAAGTCTTTTGCCTTCCAAAAGGAATCAAATGGAAGGGTCAGTTACGTCATCTGGCTCTTTCGTGGTGTCTATTTAAAAATACATATGTGTTTCTGTTACGAGTATTGAAACATTTTGAAGCATAAGCCTTGTTTGCAAATGTAACATACGAAAATAGGTGCATCTTTTAGTTCTTGCTGGAGCGTTTAGGAAACTTGTCAAGAAGCAGCCTTGTCCGAGGACTCTTTCCAAACTCCTTCTCATCATCCTGTTGAAGTATTCATTTTACCCATCAAGACACTTTGGCTGAAGACTTGCCTGTGATAAATTTGTGTGCCGTATGCTGATTTTTTGCAACAGTAGTTCTGCAGATGGATATGCTGCCTGTTACCAGGTAAAAATACCTGTGAGGAAAGAAGCGTGGGAAATAAACCAACTTTTATATCTGCAGCTGGTGTAGGTGTACTGTGGTTTCAAAAGATTTTATTCAGATTGCTTTGTATAAGTTCAAGTAGTCTATCCTTCAGGATACATCTGTGCTAGGTATAGTAGCTTTTTACCACAGACTTTTATGTAGCGTAGACTAGCGCGCTCTGCTACTGTCAAAACTTCTGTGTTTACTTCTACACTGTAGTGTAGCTCTGAGAACCCAGTCACTTCCTTTTTTTTTTTTTTCCATTTTCATGATGAGGAAGGTGGAAATGGTAGAAACCACAATTTCCTCTTGTAAAGGGCAAAGCAGTGCTATTTGTGCTGACTGGTAAATACTCTAAGCTAGTTCTGAAGAGCAGAGTTGTGGCCCTAACCTGTAATCATAGTTGGACTTGGAATTTAAGTCATGTTGTGCTGGAGGTACTGAAGTGCACCAAGTACACACTGTTTTCTTGTTTAAGAATAAAAGTAAGAGGAGGTATTCTATCCTAAACTGTACTGTCATTGCAAAAAAAAAAAAAAAAAGAAATTTAGGGAAGAAACTAGGGAAACGATACACCAATCTGAAACAAATACAATAAAAAGTGTCATATTAAACTTTGGTGTGAGAAGAAAGAAACAGTTTCTTCATTCCAGAAATGTTTCCCAAAATCATGAGATGAGAAAGCATGAATTAACATGTAAATGCACTCACTGCATACAAAGGTGAAGTGGTGCTCAGATTCAGCCTTATTAAAAGCATCTCTAGGTTTGCTGTCCCATGTGGTCTATTTCCTTACTCCCAGAAGCATTTAGATAAGTGGCTCGTAGAACTATTTTCCTAGTGTTACTATTTTAAACTGTAGCTATTTTTAATCAAGTGCAATTTTATGATGTGTACTCAAGTCTTTACTTTTCTTAAAAAAAAATCTACTTGCAATGTTTTCATATTCTTTTCTTGGATAAAAGGCTGTGTATGCTGCAGTTGGTAGACACAGAAGAAGGTAGAGAATATGCTATGCTCAAAATATAGCACAGCCTTCTTTCTCTTCCCATTGCTGTAGACTGCCAAACTGTATACGGCTGCCTTTATGTTCCAGGCTTTTCCTAAGCAGCTTCCTCAGTATACAAATACCTGAAGGTAGCTTTTCTATATAAAGCTGACATCTCTTTTTGGCAACTTGCATAACTTCTTTTATTAAAAAGAAAAGAGAATAGCTTGCTTGAAAGGAGATAGTTGAAATCGTGTAAGACTGAATTGACTATTGTATTTCTCTGAGCGTCAGTCAAGATAGCCACTTGTGTTCATAATTCAGAACACATTGTGACTGTTTATGTTCTTAGAGCTTCACTTCTAATTCTTAGTTCTTTACCAGTACTATTCAGACTCCCCTTGGTTGTAAGTAGTGTTGGAAGCTTATCATGAGGTATGCTATATTATAGAAACAGTCCCTGAATCATACAGCAGAGCTAGAATCAACAGTCCATTTTGATTGTTCAAGCTATACTGCAGATCTCTGTAAGGAACTTAGTTCTTGGATTATTTATACTTAAAATGCCCAGTCTCTTACACACTTTAAAATTATGAAACACCTGGTGAAACTGATGTTCCCCTCATTACTGAGTAGATTGTGTTTTGTTGAAATTATTTTCCCTGGGGTATGCAAATATTAGTAACTGGAATTCTGTTCTCTGTTGATAGTTAAACTGTGCCATGACTTGTTAAATACTAATTTCTGTGTGTGCAAGTATGTTTAGATATGTGTCTGCTCAGTTTACAACTCATTTTTCAACATATTTTCTGAAGGGCACGGTGTTAACTGTGTTAGCTTGAAGCACAAAACTTCTTGGAGTGGATAACCATTGTTTGGGCAGCTCTGGCTGACTGGGAGGGTAAGGAGGGGGTGTGCCTTGCTATTGCCTTGCGAAAACATCACTCCCCCAAAATGCAGTATATCTTAAAGCCCACCATACTTATGCTACTTTGAAGAGGTATTTAGTTAGCGCTGATGAGACAGACTAGATAAACGCTACCCTTTGTGGTGCTAGTACTAATGCTCCGGTAGCTGCTTGAGACTGATAGAGATTTTGGCAGCAAGGGCTGTCTGAATGGCTTGACTTCTGGATTAATTTCAACTTATTGAATTTTGCACGAGTTGTGTGTTAGAGCCATTTTAGATGTGGGAGAGATCATTTTGCGTGGTGGTGAAGGGTTCTGTGTGACGCTGAGCTCTGTAACAGAGCAGCCAAAGAGTAGGCCTTTCTCCCAGAAGGATGACATAGTTGTCCCAATCAATGCAGAAGACCCCATTTGACGGTTCTTCAGTGTGAGCTTAATGCATGTTGAACATGTACAAGAACTTCTACCTCTCTCCTTTTACATGACTTAAAAATTTTAAGTGGCTGTTGTGGTTCCTTCTGGACTTAAGCTAGCCTCCATCAAAGAGGCCACAGAATCTTACCTGGGAATTTCTGTGCCGTACCTTTAACTACTGTGAGCTAAAAGCTGTCTTTTGAAAACCATCCACTTCTGAGGTGCTTGAGACGCAAATGATTTATTAAATCCTCTCTGTAAATTGTTCCAGTGGCTGGTTATCCTGAGAATTAGACATACTGAAAATAAAGTTTTCACCTTTAATTGTTGTTATACTACTTCCGTTACATCAAAGACGTTGTTTGAGAAGGCTGTTCTATGTTACGGGTGTCTGTATGCTGTGATCAGATCGTCTTCTGAAAGAGCTGAAACGAGGACAGTCAAGGGTTAGGCCAGAATAAAATGACTAACTCAGTGGTGATCATGTGTTGAGTCATGAGAGACATGGGTTTGGATGATGTTCTGTGGATCACAACTTACTTTACAAGGCCTTGTAGGATGAGTCCTATCCCCTATTGCCCGTATCCTCTGAGGGTTTCAGCCTCCCTAAATTAATTTCTTTGTGAACCAAGCAAGTGTGCTATTACTTCTCGTGCTCAACGATGCAAATTCCTCACTTTGTAGTATCCAGCATAAAGAGCTACTTTTTCAGGAGGCAGTATTGTTTGGCAAGCCTCTGTAGAAGCAGTAGCCGAGTGATGGTTTGGTTTTATTAAGAAATGCTATAAACTCTTGAACTGGCTTTCACGTGCAGAGTTCTCATTTTTAGTCTAAAGCTGTAGGAGACTTTGAGTAATAATGTGAAATGGACACAAGAGATCTGTAATCATGGAAATGAGCATTAAAAAGGTTCATAAAAAGGCTGGGTTGTGACTTTGATCATGCTCCAAAAGATTCCATTGTTTGCAGCGTGTCAATAAAACTCAGACACCTGAGTCTGCTGAGAGGTAATGTGGGGTAAGTGAACCTGAGAAACACCTCGGTGGTACACAAATAGGGAGAATGCTGAAAGGCAATCTGTGAGCTGCTGCTTACTGCAACAGTGAGCATTGCACTAGTGAAAGGTTTTCATCTAGCTGAATCAACAAGTTGTAAATGAAGTCATGAGCTAGCTAATGCACGTGTTTTTGTCTAGCAATGTTTAACTTAGCTTTTCTGCTTATTCTTACTGTTTTCACAGTTTTTCTTTATTTTCTCTAGTGTGGCCTAAATCTGGTCCATCCTACAGAGGAGGCAGGAGAAATTCTGCTTCCTTGTGCTCCTGGATAGATACTAGATGGCTCTCTGCGTTTGAAAGATGGACAGAATGGGTTTCCTATAGCGCTCCTTACAGCTGGCAGTCTAAGGGTGCAAATGGCAATGCTGTTCCTTGGTTGCATAGCACCAGGACCCCTACCAGAGTGTTCAGCAAAGAATTTATTCTCTCTCACCTTTTATCTTTTTTACCGTGCATTAGGACATTTTATTTTCCAGGGCAAGAATTGGGCTCCATTGAGCCTGCTGCTTAAACTTGAGCAGAAGTGCATTTAGTGAATTAATAGGGGCAATACACCAAATCGCAAGAGTGAAAAAAATAGCACGTGTGGCCCAAAGCAAGGGAGAGGAGCAGGCCTAAAGCTCAGGAAGCTGTGCGTGAAAGTGGGCATAGTTATTGTTAACCAGTGTCTGAAGGTTGCCCCCTAGGGTTTTACAGTTTTTCACACTGTAAAACCTTGTACATGGAGAATTCTCCAAAGGGATATGTACTGTCAACATCAGATTTCCTTATGTCAGAGGAGGTGCAAATGAAAATGGAATGTAGTGACCTAGATGAGAAATCTGCTGTGAGACATTTAATTTCCTGGTCCTTTGTTTTTGAAGTAGAATCTCTTTTATGCCATACACTAATTATGTCATTTGTGCTGAAGAAAAGGGAATAGAAGATCACTTCTGGTATGTCTGAATTAGCACTCATCTTCCTTTTCTTTTGCAATGAGCCAGTTTGGTAATGAATTACTTGCTTGCTTTTTTGGCAGAGACACTGTAGATAAAAGGGAGGTTGGTACCACTGTGGGAATAGGGCCTCTGCAGCAGAAATGTAAATGTTGCAGTATGAAGTATGTTAAAATCTTTCTCTTAAAGTCACGAGAGGGAATTGTAAATAAGAGTGAAAAAGAACTGCTTTAAATGTCACTCACTCACTCTCCCCCCTCTTCAAAAATCTAACAATTAGAGCAAACAAAGGCTGTTTCAGAATAAACATTTAAATTCTGGCCCAAACTCGTGAGCAGTGGTGTTAATCATTAAAGCTACCGCAGTAACCTTGGCTCTCTTGTGTTGCTTCCCAGTGCAGTGTTGTAAGCGTCTGTGCTGTTTGGAGGCCCTCTGTTTAAAAGCCACAGATGTGACAGTAGCCTTTTCTCTCTTTTTGGTTTGTATTTAGATGTTTTTTTTTTCACTCCTCTTGGTCTCTCCTCTTGTTCTTTATTTGGAGCTGTGATCATGTAGCGCAGAATGAGCTTCAAGTTCTTCTATAATACTCCTGTGTAACGTGACTGTGTTGGAGTGCAATGACTGCCTTTGAAAATGTCTTCCGTTTACAGAAATCATCCTAGCACAGCTCAAGTACATCACGGTGTGGCCTGAGATTAGAGAGGTTCACCTTTGTGTGATAGAAGAAGGTAAAGGAGACGGCAAAGCTTAAATACAAATACTGTAAACAGGTATTCTTGAACTATTTATAGAGTAACAGAGGAATGAAAAACTGCATAATAAATTCAGTTTACTCTTCCTTCACTTGAGTGTGAGTCATGGGCTACAGTGAGAAGGAAAGATTTAGAGGGATTTGACTTATGTCCTGGAATGGTACACAGTTGTGCCATTTGTTTTATTCCACGGAGAGAATTGCCCTTAAAGTAATCAAGGGGAGGTGGTGACTATGGCAATGACTAGGTATTAAGAATGTCTGCAGATCATTCGAGAGCTGGTGAAGCTTGTTATAGGATGATGGTTCGTGATACCATGGAATTGTGGTTTTTTTGGTAACGAAAGCCCATAGCACGTTTAGTATAGTCAAACTGGAAGATATAAGCCATATTTAAGCAATGTAAGTAAGTGACCAATATCACTTAATAAGTGTTCAGTATCACCAGCTTTCCCATCTTTTCCCATTTCACTAACTTGCTAATATTTTTGCTAACCAGCTTTACTTTCTTGACTTTAAAGCTGGTAACCGAAGAGCTCGTTCACATTGGTTTTGTCGATCCAACGAGACAGACTGGAATGCTTTAAGTCATATATGCTAAATAGTGGGATCACAGATTCTTCTGCTAGTTCAGGATGGTGTGGTGCAAACTGGTTAAATGTCTTCACGGATTCTGTCAAACGCTTCCTGTTGCTGCGATTTGCTGCTATTTGTGTGTTTGGTAGAGAAGAGGAAGGTGGTGAATGGAGAAGAGCTGTAATTGGCAGGATAAGTTCCTCTATAATGTTTTGTTCTTAGCTGCAGGGGAGTTGTTAGCTGTTGCTATTTTTTTTTTTTAAAAGGATTTCAGTGCTGGGCACTTAGGTTGACCTTCAGAAAGAGAATGAGTGCACTGCATTGTGATGAAGAGCTCAGGAATAAAGATTAGTAAGGGCACCACGCGCTAGGTCTTTGACCTGCAGAGTCTGTCTGGGGGAAAAGAGAAGGGGGTGGACACGTATCCCCCAGTTCTGATGGGGATTTTGAAATACTGCTTTCATTTAAGCACCTTAATAGAAGCAGGTATTTAAAAAAAAAAGAAAAAGTGTTCTATTTGTTCTTTTAACAGCTACTGAGTAGCCAGGCTGTGTGTTTGAAGAATAAAGCTGTATCTGCGCTGGGTCTTTTTCTGCAATCTTACTAAGTGCTAACAGGCAGCAAAGGAATTGCTGATATAAAAGTCCACAAACCTTAGGCTGTGCTGAGTCTGTCACTTGATTCACATGGCACTGTTGGCTTGAATATTCTTTAATATTACTAGTGCAGAGAAGGGCCTGTGTCCATCCATCTCAAATTGTGGCATGCAAAGTATCTTTAAACCATGAAAATACAGTGGAAGATTTAAAACATATAATACTAATCAGCATGGAAAAGAGTTCTTTATGCCCCCCCTTTTTTTTTTTTTTTTTTTAAATAAAAGGCTTTTCTACCCTAATTGACTGTGTTTGACTTTGTGGGATGGATAGTTTTTTTTTTTCTTGTTATGCTGAAACTTGCTTTCACTGGGAGAAAGGAGGGGGCCTAGGTGTGTGTTCCCTTTGTTTCATGGCTTATAACAATTCTTTTTAAAATACTGTGGATCAAGCCCACCACTTAATATCTGGTTGTAATTTTACTGCAGCCACTAGAGGTATTTCTGTTTCACAACCATGGTGTTTTTTTAAATATATATTTTGATGAGAAGAAAACTTGGTGCATGAATTTTAAAAATAAATGAAAACAAAGGCAGTTGAAGGCATCTGAGTAACTTCAGCATTTATTCAATTTTTAAGAAATTTGGGATTAAATTTCATTCTTTGAAATGTCAACCTCTGCTTTTTGTTACAGGTTACATCTTAAGTGTTGTGCTTCTGACTTTACCAAGGCAACACCTAGTTCAGCTTTACCTGTACTTCTTGACTGCACTGCTGCTGTATGCTGGTCACCAAATTTCCAGGTAAGAAAAAATGAATTTATTTTGTTAGCTTGGATTGGTGATTAGAAAAATAACCGGGATTTTGTCCATACCTTATAAAAATAGGGTAGGTCTGGGTTTGTGGAAGCACCTTTTAAAAATTATTATTATTCTTTATTATTTTTTATTGTTATGCCAGACACCTATAGCTTGCTCTTCTTTGTCCTGAAAAAGTTTACAGGATTAAATCTGCAATCAAGTTCTTGTCTACATTGGAAGGAGTTAGAGCTGCTTTTGTGAGGAGCAATTAAAAAATTAAAAGCCATTAATCTAGAGAGAGAAAACACCACAAGATCAAATGTGATTTCTGATGTCGTATACTCAGTTACTCAACGGCTCAGCTAACATGCTTTCAAAACTAAATGTTTTCCAAAGTGGACAGGACGTTATTTTTAATTTGCTGGCACCTGGAATGAGAGAGAAAGTAGTTGTTGAGGAGAGGGTGAAAGTAAAAGTAGAAATTATTCTTAAATTAATCTTTAATATACTTTACAATGAATGGAAAGAGCAAACTGTCTTGTATCAAAAACACAAAAAGAGGCCGTGGAGAGTGCAAAGACAAGCAAGACAAAGTAGGTTATTTGTTTGGTTCTGGCTAAAGCTGTTCAAAGTCAGTGCAAACTTTCATACTGACGAGACATTGAGTTGAAACCAAAGAGAGTACCATCACATAATGGGAAGTTTTTAACATGTGGACTGGAGCCTGATTTTGTTTTGGTGCCTGCTGATGGGAAACATTTTAAAAGGTGCCTTTGATTGATTTAAGTGGAGTGATAGGTTTGTTATTTCCACATCAGAATTGTTATTAAAAAAGCATTTGCTGGAATATCTGTTCCTCAGTATGTTGCAGTATGTTGCTGTTAACGGAGGTTTTGCGGTGACTTGATGTACCACAGTGTCAATGTTGTGGCTGTCGCTGTTTCAGTTAATGATTTCCTGAATGGATGAGGGTGTAAGAGAGGAATTATGACCTCTTATTTCCAGGTTAGGCAGGAAAAGAGGGTTTTTTGTCATTCTTGGGAGAGTCCTGAGTTGTTATAGATATACTTTTGTTACAGATGTTTCTCCTGGAGCTAAAGATGTATTAGAAAAAATGGCTCAACTTTTTTTTTTTTTTGAAATGTTATTTATCTATTTATTTATTAGAACTTCTGGTAAAATAAGGGTAGTAAAAGATATCCATCAGATACAGGGCTTTAGTCCAGAACGTTTGGAACTGGAGTTCTTTGTTTGTTGTTTGTTCTATTCTGGATTTTTAATCTTTTAAAAAGAAAGTGAGATGGGGTGAATGTGGATTTGTTTGTTTGTTTGTTTGTTTTTTTCCTTTAGAGTGATTGTAGCTGGTATTGCTGTGTGAGGTGAGACTAACAGGCTTCACTGAAGCCTGTTAGGTACTGTATTGTTTGGACTGTTTAGCCTATTGGTACTAAGCGTTCTATATTTGCTCCTTGAGTGATTTGATAAAGACTCTTAATTAAATCTTGCATCAACTGGCACAAAAAATATTTTTAATTAAAAGATGTCTTGGATTCAAATAGTCAAGCAGTATTCCCTAGCTATTTTGCAAAGCAAATGTAGTGGCTAAAATTTTTGAGTGAGCTTACCCATTCCCTAAGCGTAAAACTGATCTGATTTGACAGAAAGCAAGGTTCTTGATTGGTAAAGGGGTTTCTCAGCAGCAGCCTTTGTATAATGCAAGGAGTTACGGTTTTACTACCTCTTCAAAATAATTTTTGAATCTAATTAGTTTTCATATGGAAAGTACTAAGCATTAAAGTGTAACTAATGCACAAATATACTCTGTACTGGAGTTGCTCCTTTCATTGACAAAACCACCCAGTTCCAACTGATGTTTATATTTGGCAGACTGATCAGAATAAAACATACAGTAGTCACGTATGCAAACTGTTCCTGAATTTTTTAATAATTCCGCTTAGAGCTAAAAATTTCTAGTTAACTGCTTCCACATAGCACCAGCTGGGATGTTCTTTAAGACAGAGAGCTCTCACACTGAGGCTAGTTCGGTTGATGCAAATTTATAGAACAAGACCATCATCACCTGGCACTTGTGGCTCTACAGTCTCTGGAAATTCTGAGTTGATGGAAAACTTCAGTTTTTCAGTGCTGTTTTTCCAACCCAGAAGTAGCTTGTGGTTCAGCTGCAAGACTAGGAATCATAAGATCTGAGTTTTACTTTTAAGCTCTGACTTCAGGCTTCCAGATCTGTGTTATTTTGACAAGTCACTTCACCCTCGTAGTATTTGTTTCCTCTTCTGCAAAACTGGGAATCACAGAATGGTTGAGGTTGGAAGGGACCTCTGGAGATCATCTAGTCCGACCTCCCTGCTCATACCCCAAAGGGTATGTGGATTGATTGGAGCTGATGTTCATGAGCACCTAGAGAGTCCTGGAAGGCTCTGCATTTATATGTAACATATTAACCTGGCAATTTGGATAGAGAGAATTCACCCTCTGTTTATGGAAAACAAAGAAGTCGACTTTAAAAAACAAAATCCTGCCACTTCTGACATGTGATATGTATGCTTTTTTATTTTATGTATACCTGTGCAAATGTCTTGCTTAAAAGGATCACGTTTTACAGAATCACAGAATGGTTGAGACTGGAGATGATCTAGTCCAACCCCCCACCTGCTCGAGCAGGTTCATCTAGAGCAGCTTGCCTGGGACTGTGTCCAGCTGGCTTTTGACCATCTCCAAGGACGGAGATGCCACAACCTCTCTGGGCAACTTGTTTCGGTGCTCAGTCACCCTAAACAAGTTTTTCCTTAGCTTCACACTGAACTTCCTGTGTTTTGGTTTGTGCCTCTTGCCTCTCGTCCTGTCACTGGACACCACTGAGATGAGTCTGTCCCCCTCCTCTTTACAGCCTCCTTATACATGTTAAAAAAATCCCTCCCCCCCCCCCCCCCCGAGCCTTCTCTTCTCCAAGTTAAGCAATCCCACCTCTCAGCCTTTCTTCATGTGAGAGTTTTCTTCTCCCTGTTTTTAACAATAAAAATAAGTGTGCAGCTTCTTCAAAAAAAGAAAAAAAAAAAAGAATCTTGATCGTTATCTTATTCCTTACTTTGCTGTTTTATTAGGACTGTGTTCCAGGTGTTGCGCCTGGCAGAACTCAGAATGGGAAGGTTCCAGTGGTGTTGGGGAAGGAAGCGAGAGGCAGAACTGTTTGTTATGGATAATCTTAAAATACATTTTTGATTTTAAGGATGTCTGTAGATATTTAAAACCTAAGACTACATTCCAGAAGGGGTGGAGAGTGTGTGTTTGATGTTGACTATGGAGATTAATCAGCCAAAGTAAATGTCAGCAATGTGACTCAATTAGGTTGAATAACTACTATGCCTTATGTCAGTCACTTACAAAGCATATTTTAATAACAGAAGACCTTTTTGCACTTTTAGGAACAAAAAATGGTTGTGTATTTCTTTGCCTTTTTAGAGCAATGTTAGTCATGGTTGTCTGTGATTGTACGTTAACAGTCCAGCGGTTTGATTAAATGAGGCTGGGAATGCATGTACAGAATCAAGAGCAAGCAGTCTGATGGAAGCTTTATTCTTATGGCATGACTTTCTGAAGTAATAATGTAGTTCCAGTGATTTCATTAACTGGAAAATAATGGTGTTAACAGTCTTGTTTTCTTACATTGCTGCACTAAAGTGAACAATTCTGAAATGTAAAAGCTGTAGCTTAATACAGCTTTAATTGATCAAAATTGAGTGCAGATACTTGCTTTGCTCAGCATCTTGTATGGCACTGCAGCTGTTCGAGGCATCTTCTGATTGGTGTTTGTGCCAAAAGATCCCTGTGTTTGTACTGGTAATGTAATAAGAGAATCATTGCTTTGACTTTTCTTATTCAGACATCATCTACAAATACTATTTAAAAAATTAAGGAGAATTTAAAACATTTCTTCTCCAAGTTGGTAAGCCTGAAATTCTCAATTAGAGGGAGCTGCTTAAAGAATGAAACCTAGTGTAGACCTCTGTGCAGATGACTGAACCAGATAGGGGTAAGAAGTGTAGCCTGAAGGGATTTGGGTCATCTCCAGGCACGTTCCTGGTGTTGAAGAAGCAACTTTATGTGCAACTTTGCTGGCGTGCCTTACGAAGTTGTGTAAGGTCTTGCTACAGTTGTTTTTTTGGATGATTTTGTAACTTGTTTCCTAACAGATATAAAAGAAACTTGATGTCTTCACGGCTTTCCTTCTAGCAGTTTAGACATAGCCAGTGTTTTCACTGTCAGTTTGACATAGGCTGGCGTGGCTAATATAAAAAGGCGTCATCACCGTGAAACAAATTCAGACAAGGAAAATCCATGCTGTTAATTTTGTCTTCCTTTGTAGCTCTGATGGATTATCCTATTAGTGCTGCTAGTGCTTTCTGTTCACATTAAAAAAAAAAAAAAAGTTAGCATAAAATAAATATAAAACATAGTCCCCAAAGTGGCATATGGATGTTGGAAGGTAGAAAAAAAAAAAAAAAAACCTTGTGCTTAGCTATATCTTGATAACAAGGGAAAATGTTCCATCTAGAATCAGTTGTCTTAAGTGCCTTTTTCCATCCTCATGTGTTTTTAATTGCAGGTTACAACATACCTCACATGTACTATGACACTTGAAAAGCTGCAGTGAGTAGGCAGGGCTGTCAGCTATAAAGAAGAGGCTTTGAAGTATTTGTTTTAGTACTTGGAGATTTATGTATTGAATTCCAGAGATTTTTTGGCAAATGAAAATGTGATTACCTTATCTTGGGAGAGCGAACTAATACTAGAACAGGAGTATTTTTCCACGTTTCTGGGGAGAAGTGAATGCTTCCAGTTGCACAAAGTTGTGTATTTTCTTCTGTACTGAAATAAGAGCAATTCTCGTATTGGTTGTGGTTTCCGGTATTGTTTGCCTTACTCTGACAGCATCTGTTCTCGGCAAGTGTGGCTTGCCTCACTGGTGTAAATAAATATGTAACAAATGAAGTGCTGTGTCCCTCCAGCAAATAGACTCTCCTAGCTCCACGCAGGGTCGGATCAAGTGTGTCTGTCTGGCCTGCCAGGGACATGATGCAGCTTGACAGGAATGACTGGACAGTGTGAGCCAGATAATAGCAGTGTCTTCGTTATGCTGCTGGGGGCAGAGTTGGTTGTGTCGTAACAAGGATGGAGCAGCAGGACT